AATCCGAAGTGTTCAAAGTTTTTCATGAGTTTCAAGCACTTGTTGAACGTCTCTTTGACCGAAAAATCATCACTATGCAAACGGACTGGGGAGGCGAGTATGAGCGCCTAAACTCCTTTTTCCGTCAGATAGGCATCACACACCATGTGTCATGTCCTCACGCCCATCAACAGAATGGGTCAGCTGAGAGAAAACATCGCCACATTGTAGATGTAGGTCTCTCACTTTTGGCTCATGCTTGCATGGCCTTGAAATTTTGGGATGAAGCGTTCCTCGCTGCCACTTATCTCATCAACCGCACTCCTAGTAAGGTGATCAATCTTGAAACTCCCTTAGAAAAATTGTTCCATGAAAAGCCAAATTATCATGCTCTCCGCACTTTCGGCTGTGCTTGCTGGCCAAATCTCCGTCCTTTCAACTCTAGAAAGCTAGAATTCCGCTCCAAGCAGTGCGTTTTTCTTGGCTACAGCAATCTTCACAAGGGTTTTAAATGCCTTGATATACAAGCAGGACGGGTGTATATTTCCCGTGATGTCATCTTTGATGAATCAGTTTTTCCTTTTGCTGCATTAAATCCAAACGCCGGAACCCCTCTTCGCTCCGAAGTTCTTCTCCTTCCTGAAACCATCCCCTCTGACCCTCTTGATCATGGGGACGAACAAACAGCTGATCCATCGGGTGATTTTCATAAAAATTCTGCAGTTAATTTTGGTGGAAATCCGGTTGTTCTTCATGATTTTATGCAGCAGCCAGGCGCGGAACACCATGCAGATTCAGGTGCTGCAGATCCTGACGGTGGCGATCCCGGGGCTGATTCTCCCTCGTCTGGCGCGCCTGCCAACAGCAGCGCGGCGTATCTGCCTCGGGAGGAGACGAGTCGCCCGCGGCGTCCCACGCGTCCAGCCGGGGGCCCACAGGCGAGGGCCCGGAAGCGCACTCCGCGCTTGACCAGACGAGCGCGCCCGTCCCGAACCGCCAGGTGGCGCGGTCTCCTGCACGCGGTCGGGCCGACCAGGCGGGTGCTTCGCGGACAGGAGGCAGCATCCGCCTCGTCCCTCGCGCTGGCCAATCAGATGCGGTGCATGCGGCTGACAGCATCCGCATCGGATCGGATGCGTCTGGATCGGCTGCTCCGGCTCCTGGTACGAGGATGAATGGATCTTCTGCGGCTGATGGTTTTGCGGTTATTCCTGCACCAATACAGAGGACAACAAGGTCGCAACATGGTATTTTGACACCAAAAATACGTACGGATGGTACGGTCAGGTATGATAAGGTGCGGTTTGTTGGTCTTACCACTACTGGAGAACCACATAATTTGTCAAAAGCCTTAGAACATAAAAACTGGAAAAATGCAATGGATGAGGAATACAATGCTCTTATGAAAAACAGAACATGGCATTTAGTTCCTCCAGCCAAAGGCAGAAATATAATTGATTGTAAATGGGTCTATAGAATCAAAAGAAGAGCAAATGGAGAAATAGATAGATACAAAGCAAGATTAGTTGCAAAGGGCTTTAAGCAAAGGTATGGGATAGATTATGAAGACACCTTCAGTCCAGTTGTAAAAGCAGCTACTGTCAGACTTGTTCTCTCTATTGCAGTATCAAACAACTGACATCTTCATCAATTGGATGTGCAGAATGCGTTTCTTCATGGCGTTCTAGAGGAGGAAGTGTATATGAAGCAACCACCTGGGTATGAGGTAAAAGATAAACATAATTATGTTTGCAGGCTTGATAAGGCTCTATATGGTTTGAAACAAGCACCCAGAGCATGGTACTCTAGGCTGAGTGAGAAACTCCAAAGGCTTGGTTTTCGACCATCCAGAGCTGACACATCTCTGTTCTTCTATAGGAAAGGGAAAATCACCATTTTCATGTTAGTATATGTTGATGACATTATTGTTGCAAGCTCATCACAGGATGCAATTAAGGCATTGCTTGAAGATCTAAGAAGAGATTTTGCTCTAAAAGATCTTGGTGATTTGCACTACTTCTTGGGAATAGAAGTAAAGAAGGTTAAAGATGGCATAGTCTTAACTTAAGAAAAGTATGTGTCAGATGTGTTAAAACGAGCAGGTATGATGAATTGTAAGGTTTCGAATATGCCTCTCTCAACTTCTGAAAAATTGTCAAAAGAAGAAGGTGAGCCACTAAGTGCTGAAGAATCTACAAACTATAGAAGTGTTGTAGGTGCCTTGCAATATCTAACGCTTACAAGACCTGATATATCTTTTCCTATTAATAAAGTATGTCAGTTCTTGCATACTCCTACTCTTGCACACTGGACAGCAGTAAAGAGGATCCTGAGATATCTAAGAGGCACTATGAGTACAGGTTTGAAGGTCACAAGGTCAACATCAACTTTGGTGAGTGCATTTTCTGATGCAGATTGGGCAGGTTGTCCTGATGATAGAAGATCAACAGGGGGCTTTGCTGTTTTCTTTGGACCAAATCTCATCTCATGGAGTGCACGGAAATAAGCTACTGTATCAAGATCAAGTACAGAAGCTAAATATAAAGCCTTGGCTAATGCTACGGCAGAGTTAATATGGATTCAAACCTTACTAAACGAGCTTCATGTAAGTCATTCTCCAGTTGCACGTTTGTGGTGTGATAATATTGGTGCAACTTATCTTTCAGCAAATCCAGTGTTTCATGCAAGAACAAAGCACATTGAAGTGGATTATCATTTTGTGCGAGAAAGAGTAGCTCAGAAGCTACTTGATATTCGTTTCATTCCCACCAATGATCAAGTTGCAGATGGCTTCACTAAAGCCTTATCTTGGCGAAAACTAGAAGAGTTTAAGAACAATCTCAACTTGATAAAGTTATGATTAAGGGGGAGTGTTAGAATACTTGTATGCGTATTATGGTGCAAGTATAAACCGTATATACGCTGTAGGGCCGGTGCGGCATGGTTATCTCGTGTAACTCGGTTGGTAGGATGTTGAATTGATCTCTATCTTGTATAGTTAACTTGGAGATCAATCCAACAACCTAACCAACTAAATCTTGTAAACCCTAGCCGCATTGTGGCCTATATATAACACGCAATGCGTCCCTGCTAGACATACGCTTAACGCAATCTTAATATGGTATCCGAGCCAAGAGGTCTTGAGTTCAAGACCCTGCCAACGCAGTATTAAATAAAACGATTCTGCAGCCTACATCGATCCCACGTCTAAGGACTAAAATAGCCTAGTCGTGAGGGGGAGTGTTGAAATATATTGCCCACCTTCCTCCATCAGTTCGGACTTTTGGATGAGTTGGTTGGAACATGAATTCAATAATTTCAGCTAACCATACCACTTAACAATTATATTTATGTGCTTTACATGCAAGAATCACAATGCAATTGCTAATTAGGCTTAGAACTTGATGTTTGAGCCTACCCTACATTTTCATGCTAGATTCGCCACTGATTGCACCCACTGCTACTTTTCCTGCTGGGTACTGAGGGAGGCTTGAGCGGCAATCTGGCAGGAGGAGATACTACTATCTATTGCATTTTTATTTGTGTCTGGCTTTTGCTCTCTGTTATGGTGGATCCTCGTTTGTTTGGCTATATCGTTCGCTGAACTATACGGCGGTACCTTTGGTCTACTCTGCGCTAGTGCGGAGCGGAATCAAATTTTGTTGTTTGATGGTATTATTGATGTATTCGAACGGTCCGCTTGTTTTCCTTTTCGTGATGAAATGTGTTTCTATCAGGTGATGTTCCAGATGTGTTTCTACGCTTTCAGAGATGTAATGGTGCACTTTGGCGTAAAAGTACTTTTTTTAGTAAATTTAGAAGTACCTTTGTCCTGTTAATGTTAGTACTTGCCAAGGTAGCATAATTGTTGCGATGTTTGTTTTAAAAAATAGCTACTCGGAAATGATTTCTCATAAAAGTTGAAAAAAAACATGAACAGTGAATACAGTGTTCATTCAGTGGTAAAGATAGAGCGAAGGATAGGCTGTGCAAGGTCATGGTGAATGAGCAATCATAATTTAGCGGCAATGATGACACATTGATAATGAAGCACATAAAATGATTTATGGGATTTCCCCATGAAAAAACTGTGGTTTCTCGCCCGGTAAATATTACTTGTTCGATCTTCCCCCACTCTTGACAGGTACTCAAATAAATTGATTGAAGCTGAAAGGAAAGATTATATATATATTTTGAGAAATGAAAGGAAAAATTGTTGGACTGAAAAAATGTACTCTTGACAGAAAATGCATGTGCATCTTGGGCCGAGAGAGATTCCTCTGTTATCATCAGGTCCATTTTGATGGTTATCTTTGGGCCTCCAATCCAAATACAGCACCTGTCACTCTCAAAAAAAAAAAGTAATCCAAAGACAGCAGCCTCCACCACCACCAGCTCGCTCTACTCTGTTCCCCGCACTCTTGGGTTCCAGCTCGCCTCCACCAGTGCCGCCGCCGCCGTCTTCTCATCCGTCGCCGCCGCTCCCGTCGCGGTCAGGTGTGAGGTTTGCTGCCCCCTTCTTCTTCTTCTTCTTCTTCTTCTTCTTCTAATCTTCGTCCTGAGGAAGGGATCCGGGAGGAGCACATCTCAAATCCCTAAACGAGCTGCCTCTACCATTCGCAGCAGCAGCAGCAGGCCGGGTACGGGATGGGGAAGAGGAAGAAGGGGGAGGAGGAGGAGCAGGCGGCGGAGAGGATCCCAGCGACCTACTCCCGGAGGTCCTGGCGCGGGTGCCGTACCGGTCCCTCTGCCGCTTCAAGTGCGTGTCCACGGCCTGGCTGGCGCTCTGTTCCGACCCCGCCGTCCGCAGGAGGTCGCCGCAGACGCTCTCCGGCTTCTTCTGCTACCCGCATATCGACGGTGTCAGCGGCCGGCGCGACGAGGGCCTCAGCTTCCTCAACCTGTCCGGGAGGGGCCGGCCGCTGGTCGACCCCTCTCTCCCTTTCTTGGGGAACTACAAGAATGTCATTCTCCTAAACTGCTGCGCCGGCATTCTCCTCTGCCAAGGCTGGAATAGAACCATGCAAGTTCCGGAATACTTCGTGTGCAACCCTGCGACCGACAAGATCTGGGCAGTGCTGCCTGCGCTTGATGTGCCAGAGCCTCAAGTTCCCTACATCTACATGGTGGGCCAACATGTAACCTGGAGCTGCAAGTTCTGTTTGTGTTTCAACCCCGCCGTTCCCTCTCGCTTCGTGGTTTTCGCGTTCGTTGAGAGAGGCCACACCATAGTGGCAGTAAGGGTCTACTCATCCGATACCGGAGAATGGATTTCCACAGAGAGCGGTGGCCATATCGTGGCATATGGTGGTGAACAACTATATGACTTTTTCAATTATACCCTGTATTTCAGAGCCTAAGATCATGGAGATGGCAGGTTCTATCCCAGGGGGAGACTAATACCCTCAATATTTACAGTGGACACGGACGGGGATACTTGGAGGAGAATTCCAATGCCACCCGAAGCTCATTTTTCTTTCATTGGGCACTCTCAGGGACACTTATACGGTATGGGCATAGAGCATGTTAATGATTGCGTGCTATCGGTTTGGGCTCTCAAGGATTATCCCAGTGGAAAGTGGACCTTAAAACATACTGCCAGCATCTTGAAACTGCTAGGAAGGTCTTATCGTGAGCTCGGTGAACAATATATGGTGGCTGCGGTCCATCCAGAATGTAACCTGATCTTCCTTGTTGGTTGGATGAGATCGCAAGAGACACTTATGTCGTATGATATGGATAGTCAGAAACTGAACGTTATCTGCACTCTTGACGATTACCACATGTCAACGCTCCGACCTTACATTCCCTGCTTTGCGGAATGGCCGCCGTCAGATGCTCACTGAATCCGAGAGCAGCTTCACATTTGCTAAGTTGGCATGGCTCCTTCATGGAAACCTGTTGTTGGGTATGGTCCAGATCTTCTAGCTTTGGTCAGTGGCTTGGACAAGTCCTATGTCTGTTCTAATTTGGCTTTCTTATCAGTTGACGTCCATTTGAATGTGTTTTTGTGGCTTTGGAACAATGTTGGCTCGGCAGTGAGAACTTGTAAGCGACCCTTCAATGGGTTATTTCTAGTAATATGAATGAACTAAGCCACTTAATCTCCTTGCTCTACGTATTAATTGTTGTAGTCACTTGTTTGTTCCTGGTGCGGGGTAAAAACAATGGGGCATCACATATGTTCGAAATTATCTGCATTTTCATCTCATTCTGTCCGTTTATTTAGAGCAAATACCTTTAGTGTGCAACTTGTTATCCATCAAAGTTGCATATTGATGCCACCCTGTTTTGGTGCACTGGAAAGTGTTTTTATCTCATTTCTTATTTGAAATGCTTCTTTTTCCTCTAATATAATACCTTGGGGTCAACTTTTTTTGATTCCTGTGCATACTAATTGCTGCGGTCACTTGCTAGCTCTTCATTGGGTAAATGTGAGACAATGGGCATAATGTTTGGAATTATCTACATTTTCAGCTCTCTTTCTCTCTCTCTCTCTCTATTTATTTAGAGCAATACTTTTAGTGTGCAACTTGTTATCCATCAAACTTTTGATGCATTTGAAATTGTTATTCTCACTTTTCATTTGAAATGGGATCTCTTTTTGTAGTAATGTAATACCTTGGGGTTGACTTTTTATTGGATTGTTGTATAGACAGGGAGGTTCCTCTAGTGAAATCCGCACACATGGTGTTCCATTGATGATGTCAAAAAATATGTTCCTTTAGTGACTTTGCTTATAGATTGCTAAAGTAAAGAAGAAATAATGAAGCCAAGTCAAATCTGGGCATGGCTAATAACTCATGCCATGTGGTACTTTGTGTTAGTTCAGTTTTGAGCTTTGCTCTTCGCTAGAAGCTGAACATGGTGTCATATTTTTTTTTTGATTCAAATACCACATAAAAAACGCTACCATGGTCCTATTATTGTCACCTTTTTTAGGAGTTACCTTGGTCCTATTAATGCTGCTTATCAATTTAACGTGTTTTCTGTGGTGTTTTTCTTTTAAAGCTACTCAGAAATGAATCTGTTACAAGAAAAATGAAAACAGGAAACATGAGAACAATGTTCGTTCCATGTTAAAGCTTACAGTGAAGGATAGGCTGTGCAAGATCATGTTGAATAAGCAATCAGAAATTAGCAGCTACGATGACAATGACAATGACACACATACAATGAATTGAGCTTTGCCTGTGAAAGAACTATTGTTTCTTGCCACATATTTGCTGTTCGATTTTCCTCCACTCATAGCCCTCACTTTCCCTGTGCTTTGACATCTATTCATTGACATACTCACACCCTAATAACTCTACCACACCTGTAGGCCACATCAAAGGAGATAATGTCTTGATTCTTCCACTCTACCAACTTTGAGTGTGTTTTCATGCTCAGGATTTCAGAATGACAACAAATAGCTGGAATTTCCTGCCTGGTTAGTTGAGTGTCTAGAACACAATGTTCCTTGAGCAACTTGCACAGCTTTCCTTTATTGATTTGAGTGATGTGATGCATCCATCCCCTTGCTGCAAACATGGTACTATTTGAGAGAATTTAAGTCGGTAGCATGATAACTTCACTTGTTTGTTGGATGCTGAACTTGGCATAAATCCAGAAACGTGTCATGTGTGTACATTCTTTTAAACATAATGCCCATAGCAGTTAATTCGTCAATCGTAAATATTCTATTCTGATCTCTATCTTTGCCAGCGTGATGCACTTAAAAAGCAAAATTACTTCTGATGTCGAGGTGAGGTAATCTTTCACTTGTTCTACTCACAGTGCTGTGAGGTAAGTCGGTTACTTGCAGTTAAAACTTCACTTTACATCCAGATTTGTGTTTTTGAGTTTGGATCCAGTGACCATAGTTTTCTGTTCTCCTTTTCTGGCAACAACTGGGAGCTCTGAAAAAGTTGGACACCAACAGATAACATATAAATGAATTGGTCAATGGATGAAAATAAATTTCCAATTTAATCCTGAAGTTACATTATAGTTGTTCAGGTAATGTCATTTTAATTGTTTGAGCCTGAAGCTCATACACGAGCTTTAGCTTTGAGCTGACTTTCCCCTGTTATTCATCGATTATGATGTTCCCATCTCTGAATTTTAGGAGATAAGCAATGTCTTCTTTTGTTTTCCGTTGCCTAAGGCTGACCATGGGATATGTTCCGCACCATGGTGACTATTGCATCTCTAATAGTTTGCATTTCCAGTATGCTTATGACAAGCTTAATTTGAAAACAGAATCAAACAACATGTACACAAAATTACAAAAGACACCTCAAATAAAGCAAATAAAGTTGATGTACATTGACTACCAATAGTACAAAGCAGAACGCAAGGATTGTTACTTTAGAATTTCAAGAGAGATCAACCAATACAATAATAAGCATGCAGAATGCCACGATAACATTAAAAGGCATAATTTGTCTGATAATGGTGGCCACAATCTTCCATTTTGCAACATTCCTTCTCGCATTCTAGAAGTTGACTTCTGTCAATACTCAAGCTTTGATGTGGACTTCTTGTTACAGTGAGTAATCTCTACAAAGTGATTTGGCCTTAGTGGGAGCTGAACTGGGAAATGTACCTAACTGCATTTTAATCAGAGAATTGCTTGTCTGGCAAAACATCAGTTTTATAGAGGATGCGGACTACATAGTACCTGCATATTTGCTCTGCCATTGTGTATCCTCTTGACAGGAGTGGTATTGGAGCTAGCCTTTTGATATATAATAAAGCAAAAACAAGCATGTAGTAGATAAAGTTTTAAGAAGAATATTTTTTTACTGTTCTCGTATCCTCCCTAGCTGTATACTTTTGAGAAACGACAAATCTGATATTTTGTACATGTGCCTTTTCGAGAATGTTTTCTGACTTTGTAGAAACTTCACTTTTCATAGGAGCATGTGCAATGAGGCGGCGAAAAATATGCAGTAGGGAGGAATATGCAGGCTTCTAGTACTAGGGCAGAGCATAAGCATAGCCTACGATTTCCCGTGTGAGAAAAGCTTGATCAGGTGGCTGATGAACCTGTCTCCTGAAATAGCTTCATCTAGCCTGATACAGCCCCAAACTTCTAATCTTAGACAGGGACAAGAATGGCATATAGATCATATATTTTAGCAGAGCTGCCCCCCACATCGTCCATCCCAATCATTATAAAATGCAAGGGAGAATGGTATATGATTCTCGCTGTATATAGTGGGTTGGCACCCAGAAAAACCAGATGCAGACCTTTGCATCACTCTGGTATCGAATTACCACAATTTAATTGAGGTCAATTTATGCTTGTGTTATTTTAGCACCGTTAAATTTCCACCGTCGAGAAGGGATCAACTGGGTCCCATTTCTGAAAGCAATTAGGCATATGTACAAAGGTTCCAACCTTTGCTCCAAGCAAACCTAGAGTAGAAGTTGGTTATGAGAAAGCTCACCATAAATAAATATAAAAGATTGCCGTTGTCTTGTTTCAGCAAAAAATATTTCTATTGTCAAACAATGTAAGGTGACTGAGTTTCGCATTTGATGACAAAACACACTCAAGCTTTAGATTCATTCCAGCAAGATCTTTTAACCATTTGCGCCAGTGAAAGTAAGAAGAGAACCATATGATGTCTATAAGACTTGAAATACTCTGCTTTATATAAGCACTTATGTTGCTACAGAGTACTTAGGTCTCAGGAATATGTACCTTCATGAAGAGTGCACCACGTTTATGCTGCAAGCTGCCTTGCATTTCAGCCGATATGGTTCCCTAATCGATGCTGATTGGGTATCGGCTCTTGATAGGTACTCCTGGCAAAATAGTCACTCTTCCTTGGCTCTGTATCCTGATTGTATCCTGAAACAAGTTGCGGTATACAATTCTTTCCGCACTGAAATTCCACCAGCAGAAATGGTTTCTGAAAGTCCATGGATTAGTGATACTTGAGGTAAGACTTCTGCGAGAAAGCTTCATCTCTAGGAAATAAAATTCGCATGCGCTTTATATTCCTTGCCATTTTATTTAACTTTGTAGCATGCAAGTCGTGCCAATTCGTGGGCAGAAGAAAGCAGTGGGCATTAATACTCCATGCAACAAGCAGGGAAATTCTTGGTTGGCTGTAAAATGGGATCAAAGGGAGAGGAAACAACATTTGATTATTTTTGTTCCCTCTCCACTGTCAAAGATGCATCTTATCAACCTTTGCATGAAATGGTAGGTCTCACCATCACCGTTTCTGTCTCAAGGCTGTAAGTATTGTGCCAGATGCTTCCTTATGGAGCAATATAGCCTTCAAAAAAAAATTTCTAATCCCAAGAGCTTTCCAGGTTCCAGATTCTCTTGTCATGACAGCTGCAGTGAGCACGGTGTGAAAAAACCGCACTGTCGTGTGATCAATGCAGATTCCAGGGATTGTTCGACATATATTCCCTTCTTCAGTGCTTCAGGCCTCCACTATAAATACAGCCAAATGGGGATGTGGACTTCATACACTTCCTTACGTCTAAGATCATACAAACTAAAGCATCACCTAGTGCTCTTGTTGCAGAGACAACAGAAGCCATGAGCTATTATGGAAGCAGCTCTTCTGGTAATTTTCATCTTCTCCGTAGATATGATCATGTTCAAAATCTCAAATGCTCCATGGATGCCAAAATATCAATGCTGAGATCGTCGCAAATGGTCATTCAGGTGGCAGGGGTGGCCGTCGAGTCGAGTATGGGAGGAGCTATGTGGTGAGGCCAAAGGGACGGCACCTAGCCACCATTGTGTGGCTCCATGGCCTAGGTGACAATGGTGCAAGGTATTACTTCTTTCTTTAACTCTGCCTGGTCAGGTGATGCCCCTCCAGGACTTAACATCCCACGCGTCTGGTTTTGATCATCGGATGGATCTAACACACTTCAGTTGTCTTAACTGAATGCTAAACTTCCTAGCCAAATTTCAAAGATAAATAAATGATGGCACTTTCTCCATGCAACATGCATGCCATATGCTGTGTGAATGTAATAGGGATGCAAGAAACCACACATGTCAACTAGAAAAGACATGAGTAGATGATCGCAGTGTCGATGCAGAACGCTTTATTCCCTTGCACCTTTTAGCCTGAAATGATCGATGAAGTGGCCTCCTTTTTGCATGCATATATTCCTAGTATTGCTTTACTCAAAGTTAAATAATTTCCTTGTCCTACATCACACCTAACGATCTTCTCAAGGACATCAATATGCCTCTCACTTTTCTTCATGCAGTAAGTGAAGAGGAATGTCAAATACTTCTTGATGTGGGCTAATGACATATAAATATTGCACAAGTGTAGGTAGCTCATGCAAGATACCTAACTCCTATCCCCTGTCTTGGCAAATCATGTAAATATGCCATGTATAATTTATCACAAGGAAGTGGATGGGAGTATCTTCGTCCTGTCGACCACTGCATTAGAGTCCTTAATGGCAAGCATTAGCTTGCTAACTAAGTAAGCGTTAAGATCACTAAAATAAAAGACAATAACACCTACAAGGATCTAGGTGTCTTTCTAACAAGTAGGACAATAACAAGACCCTGGCCGAAAAGGACTAACCTGGGTGGTAAGAGCATAATTTTAGGCATTGTGTGGTTCACACAATCTGCTGCAGGAAGCTGGAATGGAATATCTTCTGCTGCAATTCTGTTCCTGATGCAGAGAGCTAACTTCTTTTGTCCATTCTGTCATTTTCAGCTGGTCCCAGCTCCTGGATGCTCTTCCCTTGCCCAATGTAAGCATCAATGTTTTGTACTTGGAGCACTCTTATTGCCCAACTTAAAACAGAATATTCTGTGGTTACAAAGTGCACTAATGTAACCTGTCGTGTTCAGAGATTAGTCCTGTTGCAACCAATTTTTTTTATTCACCTTGAGGCCACTTGCTCATGCAGATCAAGTGGATATGCCCCACCGCAGCGACCCGGCCCGTCGCGGCTTTTGGCGGCTTCCCCTGCACTGCATGTGAGTTTCTTCTTGCTTGGAACTTTGCTGCATGGTTTTGAGGCCCTGCTTTGTATGCGGGAACTTTTCATGAATGATATGGGAACTGAATCATGTTTCTATGAAATTCATGTGAAATTCTGTCAGAGCGGTGAATTTTGAAAACTTACTTAACACCAGTTTTTATTGAACTGAAACAGGGTTTGACGTTGATGACACTTCGGTCGATGGTCGCGACGACATCGAGGGGCTGGATGCTTCAGCTGCACACATAGCGAACCTACTGTCCTCCGAGCCTTCTGATGGTACTAGTTACTACTAACTTCAGGATCAAAATACTTCATCTTTAAGACAATATGCTAAGGTGTTATTTAAGTGCTAGGCCCAGTGTTCCTTTTCTATCTCTAAGAACACACACAAGAATCTCAAAGCATTGTGGTCGTGTTGGTTCGTTAGACTGGAACTGAACACATGTGTCAGAACTATGAAAGTATATGGCTAACTGATTGTTCGCAATTTGTGGATGCAGTGAAGCTTGGGATCGGCGGTTTCAGCATGGGTGCAGCAGCTGCCCTGCACTCGGCAGCATGCTACGCTCATGGCAAGTTCAGCAGCGGCACCCCCTACCCGATCACTCTCAGCGCAGTCATCAGCTTGAGCGGCTGGCTCCCTTGCTCAAGGTCAGTCAGTCAGTCAGTCATCTGCCACAGAACCAGGCACTTTTTGCTCCTAATTCCTAAACAAACCCTGATGATCTTTGGTGAATTCAGGACACTGAGGGGCAAGATGGAGGGCTCACACATGGCAGCAAGAAGAGCCGCCTCCCTGCCCATCCTGCTCAGCCATGGCAGAGGTAACAAACAAACCTACAGGCTAGCTGCTGATTCAGAGCTGTATTACATGGTGTCACTGAATTATGTGTGATGACCTCTACTCGTGCAGCGGACGAGGTCGTGCCCTACAGGAACGGGGAGCGGTCGACCGAGTTCCTGCGGTCCTCGGGGTTCTCGTATCTGACTTTCAAGTCCTACAACGGGTACACATCTCACACCACGCCTGACAAAGCTCTTCCTCTGTTCTTCCTTCCTCAGAACATTAAACATGGTTTATTTCCGCAGGTTGGGCCACTACACCATCCCCGAAGAGATGGACGACGTCTGCAGGTGGCTCAGCTCACGGCTCAGCGTCGACCGATCTCGTTAAAGAGAACAGCGCTTCTGTCATTCTGCGTGTGCGCGCGACGCGGTGGCTTCCCTAGTAGCATATAGCAGTGTAAACTTACTATAGAGAGGTGAATGCTGGTTTGGTAGCTTGTGACAGCACCACATGCCCCTGATCTCTACAGGCTGCCATTGCTGCTCTAAGCAAGCAACCATGAGTGCTGTGTAGTAAACTGGTGAAGGTGTGAGAGCATATTTATCAGAATTATGTAATGTAACCAGTGCTTGTTTTGTAATGCAAAAATAACCATCTATACAGATCATACTATTCATGCTACCAGTGCTCTTTTGGGTTTCAAAGACTTTGTCACAATGTTCCTAGAATATCAGAGAAAAACCTTTGTAAGAAGGAACTGAAGCACCCCTTTCCAGGCAGTATATGGACAGCAATTATTTTGCTGTATGTATATTCTCAAGTGTACCACTTTGATCAGATCTAGGTCAACTGAAGCATCTGAGGCGAACTTTGCGACGCCGAGGATGTCCGGAGGATCATGGAGTTGTCGCCGTGCTTGCTTCGAGTAATCATTACAAGGAACATACAGGAATCTGGCTGTGCTTACAGTGGGATATCTGAACAGGAGGAGAGCAGAATGGCAATTGTCTTGAGAATGAAAACTAAGTAAGGTGACTTGCATCATGCTCTGGTATGCCTGAAGCCTACTGTCATCACTGCACAAAAGGGGCAGATCACCTGGGTTACCAACTCTGAACTTTGATTTCTCTTGGCGAACTGCACAGATAAGCGGATGCGCAAACTCACCTCGAATCTTGGCCGTTAGCACCAGTCGTCCATAGATTGTGCGGGCTGCTCCAGCCAATATGCCATGCTGCTGCTGCTGCTGCTAGTATCAAACTGCCCTGCTTCGTCAGTTATATTGCCTACGCCATCAGCACCTCCTGATCCGATGTTCGACTCCCTGCTTTGCACACGCAGAACAATGAAAATCACAAGTGCGCGGTCGATTATCCAAATCCGGCTCTGCTTCGTCAGGTATGTCACTTGTGCCACCCGTACCATCTTGCACCAGCACCCCTCGTAATAATTGACGAAATCCATCTCGACTGCCGATGGGGAGGTATCTCTGCAATGCACAAGGTGAGAGTATGAGACAATGGTTCAAGCAAATGATGTTCTCAAGTATTACACTTCAAGTTTCATGCACAACTATAGATATCAAAGGCAGGCCAAACCAAGAATCTCATCCAGTTTGTAGAAGCAGCTGAATAGAGAACAACAGGGATCAGGGAGATAAACTAATTCAGGTATTCAATTCAGATAAACCAACAATAAGATTTTGCTTAGAAAACAAAACTAGTAGAAATCTATAACAAGGGAAAAAAGTAGAAGAAGACATGAATTCTGTTTAGCGCTTGAGCTAGAGAAATTGCAAGCCAACAACAAAAGCAGCACAGATATCTACTAGCCTAGAACTTGACAAATCGGGTCCTCGTAGATTTGTTGTCATGGCAAAGGAGAATCTACTAAAGATTGTTAGGCACAAATAATGTAAGTGATTTTCTTTCGAGATAGGATTTTCAGCACCCAGGTGCCCCTACACCCTCTATCAACAGTAAATTCAAAACAAAATCAAAACAAATCAAAAAAATCTGAAACTTTGGGACATCGAACATCATGAAACTTTTGATGATCTTGCAAAGTTTTAGCTAAAAATAACATTCGAAGAGCACTCAAATAAAAAAACAAAATCATTGTTCAAAGTTTATGTACATTTTTGAGCAGTGATTTTGTTTTTTTGGGTGAGGGCTCCACGAAGGTTATTTGTTTCTGAATTTTTGCATGAACATCAAACCTTTGATAATCTTTGATCCCGGAAAGTTTCAGATTTTTTTGATTTTTTTCAATTTAATATGAATTTACTGTTCATGAGGGTGTAGGGGCACCCAGGAGCTGTTAGACATTTCTCTTTTCTTTTTCATCTGTAGATTGTTGTTTGGGTAGCAAGTTACTTCTTCACTAGTAGAACTAGGTAGAAAAGCGAATGTGCAATGCCAAGGTATAGGGATGTTGGGGAGGCTTTATGTGGAGAAGCCCGGAAAATCAGTTGAGGCAACAAGGTGAAGCCGACGGTAGCAGGGTGGAGGCGGCCTGCGGCAACTTTTCTCATGCGTGTGGGGTGATGTCTTGCGCAGCTGTGACGCCCCGAGACCGTTGTGCCAGATGTCTTCCAGTTATTTGCTGTTGTTGCCTTGTCTTTTGCTTGCGTGTCATGCTTTTCATATCATGTCATCATGTGCATCGCATTTGCATGCATGTTCGTCTCATGCGTCCGAGCTTTTTCCCCGTTGTCCATTTTGCAATCCGGCGCTCCTATGTCCTCCGGTGTTCCCTTTTACCTCTTTTCATGTGCGAGTGTTAAACATTCTCTGATTGGACCGAGACTTGCCAAGCGGCCTTGGTTTACTACCGGTAGACCGCCTGTCAAGTTTTGTGTCATTTGGACTTCGTTTGATACTCCAACGGTTAACCGAGGGACCGAAAAGGCCTCGTGTGTGTTGCAGCCCAACACCCCTCCAAAGTGGCCCGAAACCCACCTAAACCCCTTCCATCATCTAGGTCGTTCGATCACGATCGCGTGGCCGAAAACCGCACCTCATTTGGAGCCTCCTAGCTCCTCCTACCTATAAATATAGCCTCCTCCCCAAAATCCCGGGTCTCTTCCCCCTAACCCTAGCAAATTTCCACTGCCGCGCGCCGGACAACGTCCGCCGCCACCGGACATCCCCGCCGCCGCCAATCGTATGCCGCCACGTGGTGCGCCGCCGCTCTCCCCGCCGCCGGCCCGGGCGAGCCCGATTCGGGCCCCCCGAGCCCATCTCCTCCGCGCCGCTCGCTCGCGCCAGCTCCCTTCGCCGCACCTCCTTCCGCGCCCGACGCCGACGCCCGCTTCCTTCCCCACGCCGGCGAGCTCCCAACTCCGGCGGACCTCGTCGCCAGCGCCCTGTGCGCCGCCCCGCGCCGCGGTTGCCGCCCCACCTCGCCGTCCCGACGACCCGCGGCCAGATCCGGCCCTTACCTCACCGGATCCGTCGCCCAAGAGCTCCGGCGAGCTTCCCCGCGTCCCTGCGGCTCTCCTCCGACGACCTCGTCCAAGAACTCCGGCGACCTCGATTTCCGTGCATGAGCCCGATCCAGATCTGTAACAGAGAGGTTGACCCAATTTTGCCTGTCCCAGATATTCTTAGCATTTTTCCGCATGTCTTAACTCTGCAACCGTTGCTCCGATTCATGTGTGTAGCATATCAAAATGTTCGACTCGACGAGTACTTCATTTCATCTCATTGCACCATGTTCATTTGAGTTCATCTTGATGCCCTAAATGCTGTTGGAAGAGTGCTAGTTTCCCTAAATTTTTGCCATGATTGATGTGTGCCTCCTATGAACTTGAGCTCTACATGTGTTTTGAAGTATGCCATGCCATCTTTACAGGTATGTATGCCATGTATTTTTTTGATCTTTGTGGTGACTAGCACAAGCATGCAAACTAGCCCTCGTAATGTTGCTGATTTCAGGGACTTAGAAATATTCTAAGTCTTTGTCCTGTTGATATTTTATGCCATGTATTCATGTTGCTACAGAGTGATCCATGCCTCTTTTGAGCATGATCAGTAAGGATGTTTTGTAGATATTGCGGTGCTCTATCCATCCATGTCTTTGTTTGCATTTATGGAGCACCCTAGCTTGAGTCAATCGAGCTCTACTTTTGCTATAAAATGTTCCTGGCAGATTGTTTACATGTTAAGCAATTTTGCCGAGGTTGTTGTAGTTGATCCATGCATGATATGTTGTTATTCTTGCCATGTTTAGCTTCTATGCCATGTCTACTTGCTGGATGTATGCTTAGTTTGTCATGCAATGCCTTGTGGTGAGTGCATCGAGCTCGTTAACACTAGTGCAGAACCAGGCAATAGCACCGGTTCGTAAGGCCCTTTAGTGCCGGTTCAGGAACCGACACTAAAGTTTCGGCACTAAATGCCCCCTCCCCCTTTAGTACCGGTTCAGCACGAACCGGTGCTAAAGGGGAACCACGTGGCACGAGCCAGCTCCGGGGGCCGGGAGCCCTTTAGTACCGGTTGGTAACACCAACCGGTACTAAATGGTTGTGGGTTTTTGTTTTATTTTGTATTTTTCAATTAAATTTGTGTTATCAATTTAATTTAGGATTGTTTTACGTTATAATGAGTTGTAGTCGTCATCATCATCATCATCATCGCATATTAATAAATAAATAAACTCTAGCTAGCTAAAAATCATCGTAGTCGTCTAATTACCACTATTTAATCATCATAGTCATTACCACTAGCTATCTAATCATCATCAATGCTGGCTAGCTTAAAGAGGAAACATTCACTTTGTAACAGAAGCAAAGATATCATCAAGTTCAACATAATCATCACCAACATCGAAGTTCAGGACACAGACATGAGACAAGTACTAATTAAGAGCATGAACTAGTAGCTACTGATCCTGCTGCTCCCTCTTAGGTAGAATAGCATAGAACATGTATAGCTCTCCTGATTCATTATACTGGAGCATGCAGATGAATCTGTCTCCTAAACTTGGGTTGCGCTTCTCCTTACTGCCCCCTAGTACTTCTCTGCGATCGTTAACAATTTTGCTTCAATCTTTCACTATTAAGCATTCTTCGCTTTCAGAAATCCTGAATGCACTCATGTGCAATGTAGGAAATCTTGGTCGTAAGCTAACCATTGACATGCGACCTTTTGTCTCGATCCACTGAGGCACAACTGTCATCGGAAGTCCCTTTTGAACAACATTGTATAGTAATTAATATACTAAGCAATGAAAGTTTAGCTTCAAAAATAATGTATGCAAAAGATGCACTAATTAAGGACAAATATTTAAAATCTTACCATCTTTTGATTATAGATGTGACCGTAGTTCAATACAATCACCATTGGTCGCACGTTTTGAGTACTAACATTTCTAAGTTTAGAAAA